GAATTAGATAATAAGCAGATAAAGCTTTACAAAGAAATTTTATCGCATACTTCAATATTTTCAGCAGGTATATATCCAATTTCATCAGTCGGTAAAACTTTAACTAGCCACCAATAACTATTTGAGTCATCCAACAAACTTAATGAATCTCCTTTCACAACGTTAGCTTGACCTTCGACCGTTGCATGAAAGGTATGTAAGGCATAGACTAGACTAAAGTCAATTTCTTCTTCAATAGTTGAAGGTGAAGAAGTCAGATAGTCATCATCATCGAAGCTTGAATGATTCTCGCTGTTATCTACTAATGTTGCATCATCATCATCATAATCATCAGTTTCATCTTCTGATCCAGCTCCCTTATGACGGGAGGACTTCGATGTAACTTTTTGCGCACGTGAAGCGGCAACCGTGTCAATGGATAAATTATGACCTCGAACCATTATTTACGTGTTGTAAAATGAAATGTTTAAATATGATTAAAGATTTTAGATATTTCATGAAGCGTAAAAATCTTCACCGAATGTAAATTGCAAAAACGTATTTCTATATATTCTTGTATGATCTAACTTTAAAATGTTTCGGATTTATGCATAGATGCTAAATTTACTATTGATTTTATTGATGCTTAAATAAAAAATATATTAGATAATACCGAAATTTACAGAAAAAAAACAGGAAAATTTTCTTAAAGTAAACTCTAATATAAAGAAATTTTCAAAATCCGACAATCATTTCCCGAATCTATCTTTATGCAAAAGAAATTACTCTATTGGTGTTTCAAAGCATTAATTTTACGCATAAATGTTTAAATGCAATCATGTATGCATATGTATTAGTATTGGTGGATAACGGAAATGCATAAATGATGGTGTTTCACGCGAAATCTTGTTTTCAAACATGGTTGCTATGCATGACTGGCAATTTTATTGTTTCAAACAAAAGTTTTTAACTTTTTAATTCGCTGAGAACATTGATTGCCAATTAGATTCTATTTCTTCACTAGTTGTCTTGATCATTTGCACGGAATTCTTAATAAATAGATTTTCAGATTTCCTTTTTGTGAAACGTCAGAAATGACAATTTATTGGTAAAGCTCGACATCATTGAATATGATATACTTGTATATAATATAATATATATCCTATAGAACCCTTTTTTGTTTTATTTGACGTCACCAATTACACATCTTAAGTTCATCTCAATGTTACGTACAAATAGGAATTTCTAATTATATATAGGTATTTCTTGACAAAAATAAGGTTTTATGTTACATAAATATCCTCCTACGTACTAAATCAATCTCAGAAACAATCACCAAATCAATCTCAGTTTCAACCTCAGTTACAACCTCAGTTACAACGCCAACCTCAAACATCTCCAAATTTACAGCAGCCCCAGTCACAGCAACAAACATCGCATCCAAAAGTTCAACAAGTATCTGTTAGTGAACCGCCAATTCAAGTAATTCAACGTGATTCTGGCTCAACTCAACAAGAGACTTTACAGGTTTCTACACAAGATGCAGTTCAATCAATAAAAATAAGAAATTCTCCATCTCCCATCCGAGTTGTTCAACATACACCATCTGAAAGATCAATTACTCCTTTGACTCCCGTTAGTCCTTTTTATAGTGTAATTCGAATATTTGCTGGTCAAAATATTTTATCAAATGAAGAATCAAAACTATTTTTATTAAGTCCGACCACAATCACCTCTGCACTCATTAAGCAAGCATTACACCGGTTTAAATTGGATGATGTAGAGGATTGGGAAAGTTATTATATAACGATCAAAGAAACTAATAAAGGTAATTTAAATTTTAAGAAAAAAAAGTTTTCATAATGGTTTCTAATATAAATATCAATTTTTATTATTCTACATAGATCATATTCAATTAATGTCTGACGATCTTCCACTTGAAGTCTTTCATTCATTAACATCTGTCACATTGCCTTCAATCAGAAGGGGTTCTGTCGGATCTATTTCTTCAACTACCTCAAATTTATCTGATATCAGTGTAATCAAACAATTAGGATTACAGGATGAGAAAGAAAATATTACCTTCTTTTTAAATAGACGTTCAAAAAGAGGCAGTCGATCTTCAGGCGAAAGAAAATTACGTGTACGGGTGTTGGTTTATAATGATGATTTACCTATTCATTTAAGGAGCAACAAACAACACGTACCAAGAACTTCCATGTCTGTTCCTAAACATCTTGCTGAAAAAGCTGCAAGACGACGTTCAAGAGAAGAAGGTAAACCCAGAGAAAAGGTTGTTATGGTTTCTGGACTTGCGACTGTTAGGCAAATTATAGAAAAAGCTATGGATAAGTTCGAAATTACTGATGGTATTATTGATGATGGTAAAAGGATTTCAGATACTGATGATAGACCACGATATCAGTTAATGGTTATTGTTGATGGAGAAGGTAAGAATATCTTCATTCTCTTTTCATAATTTAGGATTTACTAATATTGTATGTATTTATATGCTTGTTAGAAAAACTCCTTCCCTCCGAAATAAATGTTATTTCGGTTTATCCAACGGCGCCGAAGCTCCATCATGTATCGGTAGATTCCGTGGACTCATCTTCATCTTTGGCATTAGATTATCGGCCGGATGAACCAATGTTCGTTCTAAGACTTTTGCGACCTGAGGATCGTCAAACACGTGCAATGCCTGCGGCTTCTAATATAAACCAATTTACTCAAAATGCAAAACTTCTAACACCAACACATAATTTGAATAAACAAGACGAACGAAAACCCAATAATAATATAGTAAATACACGTAAACAGCTTATTGAGCAGCAACGTGAATACAGTCGCGAACAACAAAGATCTATTCTTTCTGCGCATAAAAATGCTTCACAAGGTATTGATATTGTTACGAAAGTTGGTGCAATTCGAAGTTCTCGTATTTTTGGTGCCAAAGTTCGATATTCTTTTATTCCAACAAAAGGAGAAGAAATCGATATTAGTGACCTTATTGAAGATATTTTGGGTGATGATGATGAAATACTAAATTCGGATGAACAAAGCGACTCATCCTTTAATGATCCTTACCATGATAAACAAAACAAAAA